CCAGCAGATATTCCTTTGTTCTCTCATAAACCCTAGTTTTTGTAATCGTTTTTTCTGTTGATCCTTTAAGTTTTTGCATTTCTTTTCTTCATCAAAGTTGTAGATCTGTCTCTTATCTATAACATACTTGCTTTTCAATGATTTCTGGGTTTGAAACGTTTTCTGGGTTTTTATGCATGATGTTCTTCAGTGTTCTTGAGTAGTGGATTAGGGTTCTTGAGGATGGGTTAGATTAGGTGTGGAATCCTTAGTATATTTAGGTGGTTAAGTGTAGAATTGCTTGAATCCCTTATGGATTAGTAGTACTTAGTGCTTATTCCTTTCTGATCAACTGGAATTTGAACCCAGACATTTCCACACCCACCAGGTGTTCGATGAAATGTCTGAACCAACTATTCCAGAGATTTACATACTCTAGCCCAAGAGATTGGATGTTTAGAATGTTTATTGACTATATTAGATTGAATCTTATTGCCTGCTTTGCTAGATTTCGCTAATGATGATTAGGTCTGGAACTGGTATTGCTTGAGGATCTCTGTCATGAGAGTGAATTGGTCTGTAGTTGAATCTATTGTCTAGGGATAGCCTGTTTGGATTGTTAACCACCTAAGTAGATTAAGGAGACTGCTATAATCGATTACCCTATCCTCAGGACCTTTTATCTCATTTGATTGCTTATCTCTTTACCTGCTGCTTACCTGTTACTTATCGCTGCTTAGTATTGATAGTTCTTTCTCTTTATGCATGATCACTCCTGTTCTGTAGTTTTATCGTTTATGCATGATCGCTTAGGATTGTTAGATAAACAAACCTCTATTCTGCTTGGCTTGACTTAGTATTCTCTGATCGCATCTTGATTGATAGTAAGAGCACCTGATTGGATTGATAACCTCTTATACTGCAATGACATGAAAGTATATTAGGGTAATTGATAGCAAAAATCCTAGTATATTAGGGCTCAGGGAGTATTTGACATTGCGTTTTGTTTTCTTATTTCAAATTTTGCATCATTGCATCTAAGGCATAGAAAAACCATAAAAATTTGAAATTTTTCGAAAATGATTTCACAAAAACAGAGTGTTCATATAGCTTGCATTGTCATTTTAGGATTGTTTTAGTATGCTTTCACTTAGGGCTGTTGCATCATGCATTTGCATCGGAGATTATGATGATTATAACCTTGTAAATATGCCTATTCACTAAGTAGAACTCAGTGCCCTGGTTGTTAGTTCTCTAATGCACAATCGACTGAACTTGAAGTAAGACCGCACCATCTTTTGAATTCAACGCTTGACTTTCTTGTTTTTAGTCGAATCTCGCTTTGATCTGATGCCATTCCCTATCTATTTGAACTTGAATTTTGACTTATAATTATCATGCTGTGCATTGTGCTATGAACTCATGGATACCTTAAAATACTTGGACTTTCTTTTACCTTTTGATCACTCTTGCTAGTCCAAGTAGCTGACTCCCATCTTTGGAGCAGTTATTCCCCACCCTTAGCCTTAACCTTCTTTCAAGCCATTTATCATTTGTGTGTGAATGTGAGGCCCTATTCCGATTGAGCTTGGTAGAAAGTGTTAGGTCTGTAACGACAAGGATAGTATCTCATGTAGTTCTGGTTCACGTTATCTGGACCAGATAGGACTAGGTGGGTGCTTAATTTTGGGTTTGGGTTGTGTTTAAAAGAAAGAAAAGGTTTTGTTCATCATTGAAAGAAAAGGAAAGGGAAAAGAGTCCTAAGGAGAAGTAGCTAAAGTAAGAGAAGTCTAGTAAAGGATTTGGGTGTGCTAAAGTAAAGTAAAAAGGGTTCTGTAAATAGCTTAAAGAGATTGGGCAAAAGCCTTGTGTTTATAAGAAGAAAGAAAAGGGAACCCTAGTTGTTAAAGAATCCTAATCCGCTAGACAGAGCAAAGTAAGAAAGCTTCTCCTAGGATAGAAAAGCAAAGAAAAGAAAGGAATGATGTGAGTAAAAGTCTGTAACTGTTTGGAGTGCAAAAGGGTAGAGTTAAGTTCATGTTCTGGGATTAGAAATAGGACCTCCATTTGGGTTGAAATTGATTACATTCTGGGTAGATGGGGTCTTATCCTTGTATGCATAACTTGATACTCACCTTTAGCATTCACCTAAAGCTCAATCATTCTTGAGAGATCCCCTGTTGCGATTTAAACCAGATCTTTAAGGGACCATCTTTGTCTCTAAACCTTTACCCTTTAGCCAAATGTGTTCATATCCATTGTATAGTATGATTCACGGTTCCTACTTAATAAATGTTAAAGGGAATGTGCAGATTTGAATGCTTGATTTGATTAAGGAAGAGGTTAGGTTGAGATGTGAAGAAGATGACTAATGTTTTTAAGTAGAGATCAGTCAACCATGAACTCTAGAATTAGCAACCTGGACATTGAATTCACTTACTCTATATGCATGTTTTGGTTCTGAGTCTCCACCTTCAAACCTCTTCTCCAGCTTGGTTCTATCTGTTTGCTTGAGGGCAAGCAAGAGCTAAGTTTGGGGGAGTTGATATCTCTGTATTTTACCGCTTTTAAGCACACTTTTCTCGTACATTTAGCTAAGTTTCATCTCTTTTTCATTGCATCCATAGTCCTTTTCTTATCATTTTCATCACTTAGTACGATTTGCATTGCATGGCATAGCATATCGCAAATTGGATGTGTTTCAGGTATTTGGAGCTTATTTGGGACTTAATGGATGCAAAGAAGAGAATTGATGATTCAGAACCAGTCTGAAGTCCCTCAAAGATCGACTCAGATGGAAGTCTTGCATTGCGATTTAGCTTCAGAGCTCTTCATACAAGTTATAGGAAATTGAGTTACCTTTCCAACGGAGGTGATTTCAAGCGAATCAGAGCTTTGATGCAAGAGTTATGGTGGTTTTAATGGAGACATATGCAGAAAACTGGTTGGACTCGACAGGAGGTCGAGCAGACGCTCAGAAACCACCAAGGGTTGGACTCGACCACACCAACTCGACGTGAGGTCGAGTAGGACACCATCAAGGAGCACCCTTTGAAGAATCACTCCCCCTCGACCACATGGACTCGACGACACGTCGAGTAGGACGCCAGGAAGCCGCCTGGGAGCAGACTCGACCATATGGATTCGATGACACGTCGAGTAGGACGCCAGGAAGCCGCCTGGGAGCAGACTCGACCACGCAGGCTCGACGTCACGTCGAGATGGACATCAAGGCGCCACCTTTGAGAATCACATGGTCTCGACGTGGCAGGCTGGACGACACGTCGAGTTGGCCTCCACCGACTCTCTATTTTGTCCTGTAGCCAATTAGGGCAACCTAGTATTTCCTATAAATAGGGGTACATGCTATTGTCCAGCGGATATTCCTTTTACCCAGCAGATATTCCTTTGTTCTCTCATAAACCCTAGTTTTTGTAATCGTTTTTCCTGTTGATCCTTTGAGTTTTTGCATTTCTTTTCTTCATCAAAGTTGTAGATCTGTCTCTTATCTATAACATACTTGCTTTTCAATGATTTCTGGGTTTGAAACGTTTTCTGGGTTTTTATGCATGATGTTCTTCAGTGTTCTTGAGTAGTGGATTAGGGTTCTTGAGGATGGGTTAGATTAGGTGTGGAATCCTTAGTATATTTAGGTGGTTAAGTGTAGAATTGCTTGAATCCCTTCTGGATTAGTAGTACTTAGTGCTTATTCCTTTCTGATCAACTGGGATTTGAACCCAGACATTTCCACACCCACCAGGTGTTCGATGAAATGTCTGAACCAACTACTCCAGAGATTTACATACTCTAGCCCAAGAGATTGGATGTTTAGAATGTTTATTGACTATATTAGATTGAATCTTATTGCCTGCTTTGCTAGATTTCGCTAATGATGATTAGGTCTGGAACTGGTATTGCTTGAGGATCTCTGTCATGAGAGTGAATTGGTCTGTAGTTGAATCTATTGTCTAGGGATAGCCTGTTTGGATTGTTAACCACCTAAGTAGATTAAAGAGACTGCTATAATCGATTACCCTATCCTCAGGACCTTTTATCTCATTTGATTGCTTATCTCTTTACCTGCTGCTTACCTGTTACTTATCGCTGCTTAGTATTGATAGTTCTTTCTCTTTATGCATGATCACTCCTGTTCTGTAGGTTTATCGTTTATGCATGATCGCTTAGGATTGTTAGATAAACAAACCTCTATTCTGCTTGGCTTGACTTAGTATTCTCTGATCGCATCTTGATTGATAGTAAGAGCACCTGATTGGATTGATAACCTCTTATACTGCAATGACATGAAAGTATATTAGGGTAATTGATAGTAAAATCCTAGTATCACCCGGACTGAAAAAACCGGTTCGGGGCGGGTACGGATAAGAGGAAATTACCTCATTGGGTACAGTTTTTGAAAACCCATGGGTATCGGATCGATCCGGGTAATACCCGTTACCCAAACAGGGTACCCGGATACCCGAACATATGATTAAATATCAAAAATATTAATTATATATAATTTTAATATAATTAAATTATCTAGAATTACAATTATAAATCTAAATATGTCAATTAACTTTAGACTTAAATACCCAAAACAACCAAATTATCCAAAAATTATTTGTTATGTTTGTCAAAATTTAGCAAAATGTATTCAAATATAACTAAATTTATTAAAATTTAACAAATTTTTAAGATTTTTTTCGGGTACCCGATATTTTACGTATAAAACCCGACATTTTACATATAAAATATCCGAACCGAACGGGTACCCATATTTTTCGGGTATTTATAGGGTCTAAAATGTTTTACCCAAACCGACCCGCACCCGACGATACCCGAACCGGACCGGAACCGCATGTTTAGAAATACCCGAATGGATCGTAAATTCATTACCTATTTAACCCGAATCCGAACGGGTTTTACTCGAACCCGAACGGGTTATCCGTATGCCCAGGCCTACCTTCTCTAAAGCCCATAATTTATTTTAGTAATCAAGAATCTGATCCATATAATGGGCTTGTTAGTTTCCCAGGCCCAATAACAAAAACTCATCTCTCTCTTTTTTGGTTCTCTCTCTCTCGCCGAGCTTCGTCACCACCTCCGGCGAAGCAGGCTGCTGATTCTCTAAAACACGGCGCCGTGAAGAAATCAGTGTACTTCATCTCTCTCCAATCTTCTATCATTCCGAGTTGAGGAAGCCAACATCGAATCCTTCAAAGCAAACACTTTCTCAACCCAGCTCCATTGAGCTTTCTCAGGTAAAGGTTTGATATTCAATTACGCATCCTTTATCTCCGATATGGACTACAATGTATTTAAAGGTCTTCGAGTATGCAATTCTCAAAGTATTTTGTTATTTCGTATTTTTGCTCACCACTTGTTCGACGAAATGCCTCTTAGAGAACTTTGGCTAAAATGTCATTCTTAAATTGGATACTTGTGGCTAAATGTTGGATTTTGTAGCAGACTATATGAAAAGCTTGAGTCTTCAGATGATTTAGCCCAAATTATGGCAATTGCTTTTGCTCGTGGATTTCGAAAAGCTTCATCTTTTCTTAGATCTTCATATCCAGTTCTCATTTCTTCCAGGTTCGTTTATCCAAGACTATACAACACATTAGTTTAGTATGGGAATGCCCTAAATGTGATTATATTCTTGTCAAATTTCCCCCACTAGGTTGCTTCCTCAATGCCACGAGTTTTATGATTCAACATCGATGTTATCAATCTCAAGACCGATATTTAGGAATTTCAGTCATGGTACGGTGAATCTTGTGATATCAGAAGGGAAACCGAAGTTTGAAACTCGGGAACTTGATCCTCCCAAGAAGTATAAGTGGTTGACGAAAAAGCGGTTGAAGTTGAAAAGAAAGAAAGAAAGAGAGGAAAGGAATGCAGCTAATAGGAAAGACCCGCGGCGACTTACTGTTAAAGGAAAGAAGAAAAAGTTTGTTAATGCAGAGGAAAGAATCAAGTACAAGCTTGAAAAGGTCTGTGAGAGTCTAGTCTAATTCAATAGCAAAGTCTATGAATTTAATGTATTGAAGTGTGTGTTTGGTGTTGCTCTGTGTATCAGGCGAAGATCAAAGAAGCGTTGCTGATTGAGAAACTAAAACGGTATGAAGTTGCGAAAGTGCAGGGACCTGAGGTTCGACCTCATGAGATTACCGGGGAAGAACGTTTCTATCTGAAGAAAATGGGTCAGAAAAGATCTAATTACGTACCGATTGGGAGAAGAGGAGTGTTTGGCGGTGTTATTCTAAACATGCATCTGCATTGGAAAAAGCATGAAACTGTTAAGGTTATTTGCAATAATAGTAAACCAGGCCAAGTGCAACAATACGCGGAGGAGCTTGCTAAACTGAGTGGTGGTGTGCCTGTTAACATAATCGGCGATGATACAATCATATTTTATAGAGGGAAGGGTTATGTGCAGCCACAAGTTATGTCTCCAATCGATACATTATCGAAGAAAAGGGTAAGTCCTCAACGTGTTATTCGTTTTGAATCATCTTACTGTAGATGAATGGGAGGTATAACCTTACCTGCTTACGGTTTGCATTTTGAATTCCGAAACTAGAAACCTTACTATTGTTAGAGGCTTATCTTTTGTTTCAATTTGGTTTTGGCTATTAGAGATTAGTTTATCATTCTGCAGTCTACTCATTTGGTTGGGGCTATATATGTCTTGTTTGCTAGTTCCTAACAGTCTTGTTTCTATTGCAGGCATATGAAAAATCGAAGTACGAACAATCTCTTGAATCTGTGAGACATTCTATAGCAATTGCAGAGAAGGAACTTGAACTATATTACAGGCATGTTGCTCTTTACGATGACCCGAATAACAGAAACCCTCTTTCGATATTGGATGATTCTCCATCGGAATCACGTCAACACCATGACAATGAGCTTTATCTGAGTTGTTTGGATACCGACGCTAATTCCGAAGATGAAGGTGAAGAGCTCTGAATTAGATAATGGTTCTTCTTCTTCTGCAAAGGAAGAGTTGTCTAAAAGTGAAAACTGATAGCGAATTGGATGTTTAGAAACTTTGGTTTGTAGGTTTGGTAATAATTAAACGCAGAAATTAAATGATTTCTTGTGTAGTAGGTGCAAAATTAAATCCAATCTATATATGTACAAACTTCTCAAAAACTTTAAAAAGAATAGAGTTTTTTTTAAGTTTAAGTGTATACTAAACAGTAAACCCCATTGTGTAAGAGAGAATGCATTTACATATTGTGATATGTTTTTATTTTGTCAACAACACAATTGCGAATTTAGTAACTCAACTCATTGTATTAGAGAGAATGCATTTACACATGACTACTAACTATTTTTCTTTTGTCAAACAACATGCAATGTGCAAATTTAAATTCGAGTGGTAATATAGCGAGAACACTAACACAAATAACTAGATTACAAACTATCTTCTTATAGCATAGAATGATAGAAATCTTCATATTTTCCAAAATTATTATCCTTCGATAGTCTATGGTTTGACCCAAAATTTAGCAATTTGAGAAATAATGTGGAGAAAAATCAGGCTTTCATGTAGAAAAGTAAACAATAACGACTTTGTGAACAACTGAACATGACATGTGATGTGATACTACCCCTCAAAATATAAATATGTATAAGCCCAAAACTACTTAGAGCAAGCCCAATGGATGAATCCTTAAAAGAACTCTTAAACATTTTTTAATCATAAATTATGACAATTTTAAAATTAAGAGTTTCTTATGAATCCTTAAAATTTTCTTTGTCCAATGGTAGAATCCTTAAGTGGGTTTCTTAAAAAAAAAAAAAAAAATTAAATTAACAACTTTGTAACTCTGAGATAAATAACTAAATCATTTTGAAAACTAAAATAAGTGATGGATTACTTTTCCAGTACAAGTTGGTCAAGTTTTCTCTGAGATTCAGTGTTTAGATCGCCAAGAGGATCAATCTCCACACCAGCTTCCTGTCAACACATCAAGATTACAATTATTATTGATAGTCCATTCGAAAAACGATAGAATACAAAGAAAATACAAGTCATACCTTAAGAATTTGAACCCCTTCTTCAAACGTTAACCTCAATGTCTTTTCAAGAAACTGCATGCATATTAGCGCCAATTATCAGAATCCAAAAAGATACGAAAACTATGTTTCTGTTACTCCTTGCTGCTCATCATGATACTGCAGATATATATATGGTTTACCTTCAAAGGTTTAAATGGGTATTGTTTCCAATAGCTTCAAGTTCCTTTTTGCATTTATTATTTAAACTAGTGAATATAAACACAAATAACTCGTCCACAAGGTCCATTATCTGCAGAAACAAGAGAAATATTAGCACTAGTACTGTCACAGACTAGAAAACACTTGAGTAGAATTTAGATTATTAACAGCAAGTCACATATTGTCATTTGCTTGTGAAGCTGAGGAGACTGAGCTAGACAAGCAGGGTGTCCTTGGTATTCCAACCTAAATACAGCAGAACCTCCTTCACTACTACCGGCCAAGAGTTTCGGTGTGTGGATATTAACAAAATCCTTGGATAGCAAATTTTCTCTGAAAACCTACAAAAGTGATAGCTAATTAAGCAAAGCAACATACAAGAACAAAGCAACCAAATCATGGAAAGACAATAACTCTAAGATAAACAATCACTAACACTGAACAAAGTTGAATAAGGTATTCAGTTTTCTGGAAAACCCAACAAATGTTTTAACCGTAGTCACAGAACTCATAGAACATCTAGTTTCGATAAACCCAGAATCAAATCTCAATTCAAAAACCATAATTTCGATAACATCTAATAACACTAATCTAATCATACCGTAACAAATAAAACAGTTAGATTCATACCGTGATTAAGCGATTGGAGCATGGAATCGCCTAACTATCCGATTTGATTTGCCGAACGCACTGATTTGGTCCACCGAACTTATGTTGGTGACCACCGACAGTAGAGCTGATCATCACGGATGATTGGTTAAGACTTTGTTTCACTTTTCTCTTCCAATTTGATGACCTAGACGCCGGATTATGAAGAACAACACGATTTGCTCTCAATTTCGCCATCGGAGAAATTAGAAAACAAGGAGAAGAGAGAGAGTCTCGAGAATAAAATGAATCGGAAAAGGAATTTTTTTTTTGTTTTCTCACATTTACGAACCAATCTCGGTGCCACGTCAGCGCCTCTTATCAGCCCAAAAAACTCTAAAACAAGAATCGTTTCTTGCGTTTTAGATCAGTTTTGATTTAAATTTGGGCTTTTAATTTTAAAAAACTTAGGCTTAGAGCCCTCTAAGGATCACCATTGCTGTTGCTCTTATGTTGTGTAAATTGCTCCAAGAGACTAAAAAATACATGCAAAAGGTATAACATTTCTCAGTATTTATCCCTTATACTAATAAAAAGACATGAGTCGAAATTTTTCTTAGTAAAAAATCTGAAATGTAAAAGAATAGAAAGAAATTAATCTTTTTGAAATCAATTTTTTGCTATATGAATTAAAACCTCACAGAATTTATGTGATCCTGGTTAGGTAAATAATTTGCATACGATTGACATGGTGTAAGAAAAATAATAAATAGGAAACTAAAAAAGAGTAAAATAATGAAAAATAGGTGAGCGACTAGTGTAAAATGATGAGAGAAAAGAGGTCGCTAAGCATAATAGTACCAAACACGGACGATTCATGGAAACTCGCGTCACATGTTGTTGGTTTATTAGTTGGGACAACGACAACTATCCCCAACACTCTCCATTTATAATTATAACCTCCTTTATATCATTCTCTTACAATAACAATTCCTTTATTTTTGTAATCCTAATTATTTTGTTTATTAAATAAGACTTCTATTAGAGCTAGGCAAAAATATTTGCTATGCAACCCGTAATCCGTTACTTACTTTGTATCCGTCTCCAAAACAAAACAAGTATTTTAAAGCATTTCAGATTTATCCCAAACCAGTTTTTCTTTAGCTTTAGCCTGTATCAAAGTAAAGATGGATAGTTTCGCCAGTCAGTTAAAATTTGAGAAAACGGGTCAAGCGCAACCCAAAATCCGATCATCAAAAAAAATTGATTAGAAGAAATGATCGACCTTAGAATTATCGGATTTTGTTGTCCGAAAATTATTGGAAAGACAAAGCAACGAAGTCTTTTTTTTTTTTTTTCACCACAAAGCAACGAAGTCTATAATGCTTATTATCTTAAAAAAAACATCTGAGAAATATTTAATTGTTTTTTTTTTCTTACATCTTGGGATCGATAAGACCCGATTCATTGTCAATCCCTACTAGGCGGGGTAACGCGACTTAGTAAAGGCGAACTCCGGTAGAGAAGGTGGAGTCAAATAGACTCAACCACTTGACCAAAGACACATCCTCTATTTAATTGCTTAATAAATATATTTTTTTCTATTGTTGATTAAATAATTTACTTGTTTAAGGAGAAAGCAGGTCACAGTGGGTAATGTCTTATGTCGAAGCTATGACGCAGTGTACCAAATTCTATTTTAAGTCGTTGGAACAAACATTTATGTGATGGTAATGTGACATCGTCACCCGTAACGCCCACACACACACGCACTAACCACTATATAAGCGCATAATTTTTGTTAGTTTTTTTTGTATTTGATCTAATTATAAGTTTATAACCAACATTGAAGAATAGACAAATTTATGTGAAGGCAGGTGTTTATCCATTCACATAGATATGCGTTATAAGTCTTTAATTTCATGGGACTGGCTTCCTTGTCACAATATCATCCCGTCTACTTTATAATTTTTGTCAAAATTATGGTATTTTCATACTTATAGCTTACCAAAGAATTTTAATTTTCAAATTATAAAGATGTCTTGAATATGATTTTTAGAATTATTCAACAAGATGATAAATATTTATTAAATTTTGTGAATCATAAAAAATATTAATTAATTTTTAATCATTATATTTCACCTTTCAATCTCTCATCTAACAAATAAGATACATATTCTATTATTCCTATGTCCAAACTCCATTGTATTGTATGACTAAATAATATTTCCATTAGAGCTGTCAAAACGAGTTGATTCATCCCGTTAAGCCTGTTTTGCAATAGGCAAAATATATTTTGGTATGTAGTTAGTCTGTCCGCACGACCCGCGGGTAGCATATATGAAACACAAACCCATCGAGCGAATGTATGCTGATTTGCGGGGTTATCCGTGGATTTTGTTTAAATAATTTTAGAGTAACCAAAATTTTAAATTCTACTAAAATAAATAAATTAGAAAAAATTTAGAGATAATAATCTTTTATATCATTATATTTATAAATATTATAATTTCATTTATTAAAAGTTTTTTAAACTACCACATGTTGAATAAATTATATTTTTATCAATAAATACTATCATGCGGGTTGATCCGCCAACCCGCAGATGAAAACCGATGACCCACTGCGAATCAATCCATGTGGCCCGCTTATTTGCGGGTTTAATATATTTTCCCAAATCTGCCCAATAGTGAGATGATTTGGACTCGACCCGCGGTTTTTGACCTATTTTGACTGCTTTAATTCCCATGATTCGTCTAATTTTTGAATTATAAAACACAAAATTCCATTTTGTAAATCATAATTAATATGATTGGTTTAATTATAAACAATTTAATATTTTCTTTACAATTTGTTATTAGGAATATTTATAAGTACACTAAACGATTCGTTATACTAAAAACACGCACAATATTAAAATCAACGTATGTAAATCAATATTCTCCCGCGGTGGATCGCGGGTCCGATCCTAGTTTTCTCTTTTAAATTTCAACGAAGTTGAGTGGTCCTGTGGTCGATATAGTCGAGTCACATTAGCCTATTTTTGTTTCGAAACAATAGTGTAACTCCAAAATTACTGTCAAAAGTCAAAACTTAAGTCGTAGTTACCATTGTCTCCATCTCATCAATACCCATAGCTTTCTACACCATTAAACCACCACGTGTCTCCTTCTGTCCTACCAATAAAATCATTAGGTCCACCATAACAAATAGCTCTGAGAAACACTTGATAACTCCACCCACCTTCTTCTACTCTCCTTTATTAACTTGCTTCTTCTCTCGGCTACTACTATACCCGCGTCTTCGTCACTCTACGAAATCTTAATCAAACCATTAACACTAATCCTTCTTCTTAATCTTCTTCTTCCCCGCCATTATTCGTAAATCCAAGAACAAGACGACGACGACGACGATGATGCAATTGCAATGCGTATACGCATAACCAAAAAAATGTGGTAATCAAATCCAACCACTGAAGCAATCGCAAAATCATAGCAAAAGCAAAAGCGAAAGCAATCCATTTGCGAAATCTGTGTATGTGTAAGAAAATGCAGTAACACAAAGCCGTGAAGCAACAAGGCTTAACTCTGTCTTCAAGAAAATTCGTGTTTATTATTATATATAGATTTCAAGAACATCAACAATAAAATCAATCACATCGATCGAATCTCGAAGCAAAAAATGGTTAAAGGAAGGAAGATGGAGATGATATTGTTACTTATACTTCAGATAATGATGGCGGCGACGGCGGTGAATGTGACGTACGACCACCGTGCTTTAGTAATCGACGGGAAACGGAAAGTTCTGATTTCAGGCTCTATTCATTATCCTCGGAGTACTCCTGAGGTAAACTACACTGTTTCCGCATGTCTATGGCTCCGACTGGTAACACGTATTATTAAAGTTGGATAACAAATTTTTTTTTTTTTTTGGGTAGATGTGGCCAGAGCTTATAAAGAAATCTAAAGACGGTGGTTTAGATGTTATAGAGACGTATGTGTTTTGGAGTGGTCACGAACCGGAGAAGAATAAGGTCGGTTCGGTTTTTTGTGTTTTTTTTTTGGAATTCTTGGAGTTTTTCTGAATTTTTGGGAATTTTTGCAGTATAATTTTGAAGGAAGATATGATTTAGTGAAATTTGTGAAGCTTGTGGAGGAGGCTGGTCTTTATGTTCATCTAAGAATTGGTCCTTATGTTTGTGCTGAATGGAATTACGGGTAAAATCGGGTTGAATCCGGTTTTCGTGTGATTAATTTAGCGGTTTTTAATTAAAATCTTGAGTGATTGTTTTTTTTTTTGTGTGGAACAGTGGTTTCCCAGTGTGGTTGCATTTTGTTCCAGGAATTAAGTTTCGAACTGATAATGAACCGTTTAAGGTATGGTTTGGTGATGTGTCATTTATTTTTGTTTGTGTTGTAAATTTATAATTTAAGATGTGTTTGGTTTGTTGTGTGTTGCAGGAGGAAATGCAGAGATTTACCACAAAGATTGTTGATTTGATGAAGCAAGAAAAGCTTTATGCATCACAAGGAGGTCCAATTATTCTCTCACAGGTTGTCCGGTCGAATATTTTTCTGAGAACAGTGTTGCAAAACTTGTTTATGTACTGTTGTTGTAACAAGTTATTATGTTTTTGGATGTCAGATTGAGAATGAATATGGAAATATTGATTCAGCTTATGGCGCCGCGGCTAAAATTTATATCAAGTGGTCTGCTTCTATGGCTCTTTCGTTAGATACTGGAGTACCATGGAATATGTGTCAACAAGCAGATGCTCCTGATCCCATGGTGAGTTTCTAAGATTTTAACTGCTTCAGTATTAAATGAATGTAGTTGCAAATTCTTGGATAGGTAGTGTGTCAAATTTGTGGTGGTTAGGTTTTCTGATTGAGACATTCTTGCTCTTGGTAGATCAACACATGCAATGGTTTCTACTGTGACCAGTTTACTCCTAACTCAAACAGTAAACCAAAGATGTGGACAGAGAACTGGAGTGGATGGTGAGTCTATTGCTTTATTACCATACTAATTTGTTTGTTTCCAAAGATGGCATTTGACTTACTTTCTTGTATATCTGGATGAACAGGTTCCTTGGTTTTGGAGATCCTTCTCCTTACAGGCCAGTTGAAGATCTTGCATTTGCAGTCGCACGGTTTTACCAACGAGGTGGAACTTTCCAGAACTATTACATGGTAATAAACAGAATAAGCGAATTGTTTTCGCTGTTGATTACTCTGCTAGAATTCCCTTCAAGGCTGGTTAGATAAGTTTTTATTGGCCTTGTCTTGTTTAGTATCACGGTGGAACAAACTTTGATAGAACAAGTGGAGGACCTTTAATCTCTACTAGTTATGATTATGATGCTCCAATTGATGAGTATGGTACGGATTCTACCACTGGATGTCTTTGTTTTACTCTTTAAAAGGTGTGTGGATTACTGAAGAGATGTGATTCTTTTTGTTGCAGGACTTCTTAGACAACCAAAATGGGGACACTTGCGAGATCTACACAAGGCTATCAAGCTTTGTGAAGATGCATTGATTGCCACAGATCCAACAATTTCTTCTTTGGGTTCAAATTTGGAGGTAACTATAACTTCATGTCAGTCCTCTGCTTGAAAATGCTTTGATTTTAACCAGAAAGTGGGAATTCTATATATGTACTCATTTGTCTTCACAGGCTGCTGTATATAAGACAGCATCTGGATCATGTGCTGCTTTTCTTGCAAATGTTGGCACGAAATCTGATGCAACTGTGAGTTTCAATGGAGAATCATATCACTTGCCTGCATGGTCCGTAAGCATCTTGCCGGATTGCAAAAATGTAGCCTTCAACACCGCAAAGGTATGTTCAATAGCCTCTTAAAACTGTCAAGCTCATTAACAACTGACTAATTTGGATATGTAATCTGCATATGTAGATAAACTCTGCAACTGAGCCTACCGCATTTGCTCGTCAATCATTGAAGCCTGATGGTGGTTCATCTGCGGAGTTAGGTTCAGAATGGAGTTACATTAAAGAACCTATTGGAATTTCCAAGGCTGATGCATTCTTGAAACCTGGATTGCTAGAGCAGATAAACACAACAGCTGATAAAAGTGATTACTTGTGGTACTCGCTAAGGTAGAGTAGACCTGACCCATTTTCTTAGTAACTTCTCTTCATGCAAAAGATGCTATGTTTTGTTCTTATACCTACAGAGCTTTTTTAATGTGTTTAAATCTAAAACAGGATGGATATTAAAGGCGATGAGACTTTCCTTGACGAAGGATCTAAAGCCGTCCTTCACATTGAATCTCTTGGTCAAGTGGTCTATGCTTTTATAAATGGAAAACTTGCAGGTATAAATTTTACTCTGAGTTCTCACAAGCAGTTGAAATTTAGTTTGGCGCAAAGTTTTCTAACTGTATCAATGATTTTTATTGCATTACACAATTTTGCGGTTACAGGAAGCGGACATGGCAAACAGAAGATTTCTTTGGATATCCCGATTAATCTTGCTGCCGGGAAGAACACAGTTGATCTCCTTAGTGTGACCGTAGGGCTTGCGGTATGTTCTATTCATTTCTCATCTGCAAAGCATTGTTTGTTTGGCTAAGAATAATGGCACAAAATGTTACTAGGCAGGATTAACTTAACCAATTTATCTTAACTTATTCCACAGAATTATGGAGCTTTCTTTGACTTAGTGGGAGCAGGAATAACCGGTCCTGTGACACTTAAAAGCGCTAAAGGTGGTAGCTCAATTGATTTGGCTTCACAGCAATGGACTTATCAGGTGCGTTACTTTGCCATATTACTGCTCCTACCTCTGGCTTTCAAGTCTTAACGGTTGTGATTTTTATAGGTTGGACTCAAAGGGGAAGACACAGGTTTGGCAACTGTAGATTCTTCTGAATGGGTTTCAAAGTCTCCTCTGCCCACTAAACAGCCACTGATTTGGTACAAGGTGATGATTATACACCAACAAAAACATTAGATAGGTTTTCCAAAACATATATTTTGAGAAAACTCTTTCTTTTTTTGTCACCCTCTAACAATCGCTTATGTTTCTTAGACAACATTTGATGCTCCTTCTGGGAGCGAGCCAGTAGCGATAGACTTCACGGGCACAGGAAAGGGCATTGCATGGGTAAATGGACAGAGCATAGGTAGGTACTGGCCAACCAGTATTGCTGGAAACGGCGGTTGCACAGATTCATGCGACTATAGAGGATCTTACCGCGCAAACAAATGCCTCAAGAACTGCGGAAAACCTTCACAAACATTGTAAGTACTAAACCAGCTTACATCATTCAGTAGAATGATGGTTAAACGCTTCCTTAAGCCTAAGTTGTCTTTTGTAGGTATCACGTGCCTCGCTCGTGGCTAAAACCGAGTGGGAACACACTTGTTCTGTTTGAGGAGATGGGAGGAGATCCAACACAAATATCATTCGGTACAAAACAAACAGGAAGCAATCTTTGTCTAATGGTGTCACAGTCTCATCCACCGCCCGTGGACACATGGACTTCCGACTCAAAAATCTCTAACAGAAACAGAACCAGACCGGTTCTTTCCTTAAAATGTCCTGTCTCCACTCAAGTGATATCTTCTATAAAATTTGCAAGCTTTGGTACACCCCAAGGTACTTGCGGTAGTTTCACACACGGCCATTGCAACAGCTCTCGATCTCTCTCGGTCGTCCAAAAGGTCTTGACTCATTTTTTTCTTCCTTCTAACATTCATTTCCTCAAATTTGTTTACACTTGGAGTGTGACTCTTGCCAGGCATGTATTGGATCGAGGAGTTGCAACGTTGAAGTCTCGACTAGAGTCTTCGGGGAACCTTGTCGTGGTGTCATCAAGAGCTTAGCTGTTGAAGCTTCTTGTTCATGAGTGACCGGTTCTTTTACCACTACAAATTTGATATGATATTTAATGTAATTGTTGAAAGTAAAGCAAATGGAATAACTAATAAAATAGTTTTATTTTATTTTATGGTCTATGAATCCAATATTTGTAGATTCTTTTACACCAAACCAAATAAATCTCGGTAACCACTCTTTTAATAAACCGGGAATTAAAATTGGTGTATAAAGTAAAACACTAAACCGAAACTAATAAAGTAATCAGACTATTGGACCGAAGTAAGTTCATCTAACCGGGTAGGGTTGAAGGTCTGAATCTGATACAGTTTGATTTTGAAAATTCCACAAGGAAGAAGAAAATAAACTTTTGTTACTTCTGAGACAGTGTGGTACTTAAAGATAAATGTACTGAATCACTCTTAGAGCACCAGCAACGGTGCAATCGCACCATGGGTTTTAGTATTAAAATAACCGATTTTATTGCAAAAGTTGTGTCAGTAACGAAACCCGCGTGTATGTTTACAACCGGGTGTAGAATTTAATTGTGAGACAAAAAATTTTACATTATTTTATTACTTCAACTCTCATTATTTTATTAATAAAACAACACTAACACACACATCCCCACTTTTACCACTGCCCATGGTCTTACAACAAGTCTTTTCTTGCTCCCAATCTATACACCAATTTTTTGTGTTATATACTTCACTTCACTCTTTCTCACTATACGCAGTTGTTCTGGACAACGTTAACTTGCCAGTTGCCACCAACTATAGTTGACTCAACATTTTTTGTACTAAGCTAAACCGATTAAACCAGATTAACCGTATTGAGTTAATTATGGTGAACATTTGGAGCATTTGAGGAACTTACAATCAGAAAAAGGTTTCATATCTAAAATATGGAATTCAGAAGAGATGGTTTTGGAAAAGAAAAGAATAAGTTCATTGAAGAATCACCGCTGATACAAAAGCAAGATACTCCTTTGCGTAATATTTCCATAGGAATACATCATAACAATATTAGACACTAATTATACCTACTCAAAAAAGCTAACTCTCTGTAACGCCAGCGTTTATGCAATATGCTACGCACTACACAACTTTGGGAACATAATATCAATCCAGAACACATGTAAACTATTTTATGTGGACAGTGCTTCGCACAAAAGGAGCAAATAGATCGAGACATACGATTATTGTTGGGTAGAACATCTACCTTGTTACCAAAGGTGATCCACGTTGAACCGGGCCTCATGTGTAAGTCCCCTAGCGTACATTTAATGTGTAGGGTGACACAACAATACTCATTACATGTATAAAACCGTCCTTTCAGATTTATTTTAGCCTCACAATCTTCACACCAAGACGTCATGGTACTTGTCTCCTTCCCATAAGAAAGAGTGAGCGTGTGCTTATCATGCTTATACCTTACCTTTTGAGGTAAAATAGCACAATAGAAACACAAAGCAAAGTCGCACTCAATGCAATTGAATGTTTCTGATGAATCCTTGCAAACTGAACAACGTATCTTCTCTCCTGGTTTGGATGTTAGAAATAGAGGATGGATATGACTCTCATGGACTAATGGCTCAGAAGTTGTGGCGCACTGCACATGTAGCATAAACTTACATCCTTCTTTACCACACTCATAGAAGAAACCACCTTTGCACAATCCAATACAAGCTGAGCATTTATCGTTATAATAGTTTATAATACCATCATATCCTCCAATTAGATTGAGCAGATGTGGATGTATCGGGTGATGTATTTTGCGAGAAAGGTTTGCACACTCTTCGTGAAGAATAAAATCACATTGCAAACAAGAGTAGAAATTACCGAAGTAGATTGGCCTGATGCATGCTTCACAATGCTTATTCTCGTCGTAATCTCTGCTCGTGTTCTCATCAAGTTTCATATGATGCTGCTGATGACTAAAATGATGTATGATTCCATCACTTATCTTCAAAAACGGAGGAAGCACTTCTTCTTCAATATCTTCTGGCTCTCCCTCAAGTTCTTGACCATCCCACACATTGCTCTGAGTGGCACATTTCGAATGAGCCGCATACGAACAACCTTTGACGCAAGCATAGCCTCCGTAATCATTGTCGATCTTCTTGCGACAAACACCACAAGACCAATCTCCTTGATCAAAAGAAGTGGTAAAAGCGATACGATGGAAATGACGTGATATCCTTATGAGACGTGGTAAGCTGATACAACTCTTATGGATCACAAAGTCACAAGGAGGACACATGTAGAGAGGACAACTTGAATGTGATAAGCCACATGCGTTGCAAGTTAAGGAAGTCTTTCTTAGAAACAGAGCAAGTGTATGCTCATGCCACTTCGGTTGGTCTATATATAAGATTGCTTCTTTCTTCGCACAAACGAAATTAAGACCAAAATCGCAAGCGTGGCAATAATAGAACATCTTTTTGAGATCTTCATCACAACAATAGCATACCCTCGTATAACTACTCTCATCCAACAAGACAAGCTGAAGAGAATGTTTCCGATGAAGAGAGTGTTTGATCTCAACCGGAGCCTTGTTATATTCTTTATGGTTGTCGCCATCGCAATTTCTACATCGAAAATGAGTAACATCTTCTCCAGTAGACCAGTATGTCTTCCAGTTAAATGGGAGACATTCCCACTTGCTATCTCTACTCCACGGGATTGCTTTACCCCGATGAAACTGCCCTTCTTCTTGTTTACGTACGATCACATCAAATATTCCATTATTACCCAATACTACGCATGCTTGAGGACATAAGGAAATAAGCTTCTCCCTCTTAAAATTCATAGATATTACGAGGGAGAATATTTGATAGATGAGTGACACAAAGATTGGCTCCGGCTCGAGTGCTATTGTTTGACGAAAGAATAACCTGAAGTCGGTATTATGGTCAAAGTTTCCTTGAGAAAGAAGTGAGATGAGATTTGACAGCGGCTTCGGCATGGAATCTAAATCGATAGAGTGGAGTAGAGAAATTACTTGAGTAGTGAGTGACATGAACTCCGACTCCGGCTTCGGCTGCAAATCCAAATCCATTAAGCTGACGAGAGACATTACTTTAGTAATGAAAGAATTCATCCTCTTTTCATCAACCCAATCAAGATCAAATCTCATAGATTTCGCGGGAGACATTATTTGAGATGCGAGTGATATGAGCTTCGACTCTGTCTTCGAATCCATAGAGTTGCCGAGAAAGATGATCGGAGTAACGAGTAGATGAGAGATTTTGACTTTTTGAATATGAATGTAAACTTAGTGCTTCCTATAGTATTAAGAAAGCGTGTAATGTATATCGATATCGCTAATATATAGAATTAATACAGACAATCGTTAGACAAGCTTACAGACTGTCCAAATTTAATGCACTAATTAATGTAAGACTTAGTGCTCTCATTGTTTAAAAAAGCACTAATTAACGTAAACTTAGTGCTCTCATTATTTAAAACACCACTAATTAATGTCTCTAATATACTAATAGTATACAATTAATACAAATGAGATGTGCCTTTAGTCAAGTGGTTAAGTCCATTTGACTCCGCCTACCCACCGGAATTCGACTCCACAAATCGTGTTACCCCGCGTAGTAGAGATTGACTATGGATCGGGCCTTGTCGATCCAAAGATGTAAAAAAAAAAAAAAAATACAATTAATACAAACAATCGTTAGACAATCTCAAGCTTACTGGCTGTCGAAATTTAAAGTCAACGAGATCATATTAGGAATCTTCCTTATTCTAAATTTTAGGAATCTTCCTTATTCTAAAAATTAAAGAAAAAATAAAACAAAAAAAAAACAAAGAAAAGAAAAGAGAAATCAAGATTTTGTTCTTCTTAGTTCTCATAGCCGGAACTCGTAGCCTAAACTCATAGTCAGATTGTGCGGTACATTACTCTATTTCGCTCTCCATTGATTTTTCTCAAAGAAGCACTTTCTCGCAAATAGCATTTCCAGTGTTTTTCTTTAGTTTGGACTTTATCAAAAAACAAAAATAAATCTTATACAGTATTCTCAAGTAATAAACTCTTGTACAAATGTTTTGCATGGAATAAATGTAAGAATTATTCGAGGTCACACATGTATGTATTAATCAAGATTATTATTTAATTAGTCCATTTGTATTTTTTTGTGGTTGGTCAAAATTCTTAGTAAAAATCTCTGTAGTCATTTTGGTATAAACTATATAATATAAAACATAAATGTTATAAAAACATTATCTGCAGATATATTTAATAATTTCTAATTTGATGAGAGCTGAACTAGGAATTAATCTAGACATTTAGTCCCGATATAAATAAAGGATTATTGTCCCAAAACAACTTCAAACCAAAAATATCCATATTATTCATCTTATGAAGCTCTAAGTCATATTTCTCTGTTTTGAATTAATTGTCGTTTAAGGCTTTTTCACACAAATTAAAAAATATTTAATTTTTTTGTTTTACCTCTAATTAATGTATTATTTATTTGATATCATAAATTAATAAGTTAAAATAACAGGAATAAAATAGAAAAATCTGTAAAAAAATATGTATTAAAAATATAAAACGACAGTTAATTTAAAATTGAGGGAGTAATATGCAAAATGCAACCATAGCCATGGTTGTCCTAATTCGGTTGTAGGAATTTAGACTGATCTTTTTTTTTTTTGCCAGGCATGTATTGGATCGAGGAGTTGCAATGTTGAAGTCTTGACTAGAGTCTTTGGAGAACCTTGTCGTGGCGTCGTCAAGAGCTTAATTAGCTGTTGAAGCTTCTTGTCCATGAGTACATAGTACCTTGGTTCCATTATCTCCTCATATCTGATACGGTATCAAATATGTAATTGTTGAAAATAAATCAAATGAAAATGATAATAATATAGTTTTTATCTTTTATGGTCTATGAATCCAATACTTGTTGATTCTTGCACCAAATAAATTTGGCTGGTATTAAACTGTTGTTTTAAATCTACTTGTCGGTAACTTTCTACTAAAGTGTAGGAGGACTTAGGATTGGAGACTAAACCGAAAACTCATAACCACTTTATAAATAAACCGGGAATTAAAATTGGTGTAGATATTTAAAACTAAACCGAAACTAATAAAGTAAGCAGACTACATTGGACCGAAATAAAATCATCTAACCGGGTAGGGTTTAAGGTATGAATCTGATACAGTTTGATTTGAATCTCCTTCACTTCCAATAACGCTTCTCGACCATCTACCGCCACTTCCGATAGCGACGAGCTTCCCTCCGCCGCCGTCGAAACCCTAAATTCCCAGCCACTTCCAATGGAAACATCATCAGTTGAAATCAACGAGCTTCCATTACCCACCAAAACCCTAACACCTCCTGCTTCCGCCGAGCCAATTCCAATGGATACATCATCAATCGACGAGCTTCCATCGTCCGATTCAAATCTAACGGATAACAATGAAGCCGTTGGTGAGAAACGTAAACGCACCGATGAAGACGAGAAACCCAATCTCGAATCGTTGGAGACGAAGATTACTCCTTCACCGTGGTGGAAAACGAGTCTCTGCTCTTACTTTAGGCGCGAGGCTTCGTGTAGTCATGGAAGCGAGTGTAAATACGCTCACGGTGAGGCGGAGCTCCGGATGAAACCGGATAATACTTGGGATCCGACTTCTGAGCGTGGAAAGAAGGTGAAGGCTATGAAGTTGTCTGAGCAAGAAGAGAAAGAAGACGACGAGGTTTTGTTCACTGAGCAGATGATGGAATCAATTGATGGTGATGAAGGAGGTGGTGGTAGTGTTAGTGTTGTTGATTTGTCACTAAGTAAATGTTTAGTGCATTTACCTAATAAATGGCAATCTGATGAACTGAAGAAATTTTTTGGAGAGCAGGTAAAGTTTTGATCTTTTAGGTTAGTGTAGATAAAGCTTGTGAATTTAGTTCCTGATTCAGTCAATTTTGCAGGGAGTTCAATATAAGTCTGCAAAGAAAAGAAGAGGGATGATAGTTGGGTTTGTTACATTTGAGAATGCAGAACAAATGCAGAGTGGCGTAGAGGTGATTTTCTTGTCTGTTTGTTTGTGTTGAGGTTATTTATTTCGAGATATATCGGAGAATGTTGTTTCGTAATCTGTTGAATGTATTGCAGATTTTGGATGGGAAAACTGTTAATAGCAGTAATTTGAAGATTGCTGATGTTCTTCCCCGTACGTTTGACAAGAATGATGCAAGAAAATCGGTTAAAAGTGCTCGTGGCGCTGTGACTCCTTTGGCTGACCTGTCTTATGCTGACCAGCTTGAACAAAAAAAGACTTCTATTGGGCAAATGTTGAAAAAACTTGTGAGGAACCTTTTTTGCTTGTTTGAATTTGTGTTTATTTATTTATTTCGGCTTCAACAGACTGATTTTTCTTGGAAATATTAATTTTTGGCAGGCGAGGAATGCGCGTAAAGCTTGTCCAAATGGGAATTCACTTCCACAATGGGTCCTTACATCTAGAGACAGAGGTAAGAAAACTCTACATTGTTGAATGATAGGATTACACTTCTTAGCTGTTGGTTGGTATATCATCTTTGAAGCTTTAAATACATCCTTGCAAAGTGAATCCATTTTGATTTGGTGGGAGTTTTAATTCATATGTTTAATCCCTAGGTGGTCTTGCATGCAACCTCGAGGGCATTATAGAATCACCGATTACAAATGGATACAGGAACAAGTGTGAGTTCTCGGTTGGGTTGTCCCTTCAGGGGAAGCCAACTGTTGGATTCAGTCTAGGAAGTTTTTGGTATATCTACTTTCTTCCCTGAAACTTGCGTTTTTCACATTGTTACGGGAAAAACTAATGCAAGATCTTTCCAGCGCGGGTGTGACAGCAGTCGAGGAGCCTGTGGATTGCCCCAACGTCTCCAAAATTGCTGTTCAATATGCTTCAATCTTTCAGAAGTTTATAGAAAAGTCCAAGCTCCAAGTTTGGAATAGGTTTCAACATAGTGGGTTCTGGCGACAGTTGACGGTATGTGTATTGCAGGACATGCTGTTATGTTATAGCTCAATAATGACTCTACCTAATTATATTTTTCTTTCCCCTTGCTCAAAATAATTATATTAGGTTCGAGAAGGGAGAAAACCCGGCGTGTTTTCAAATGATGAAGATGCTATTACAAGAATTGCGGAGGTTATGCTTATTGTTCAGGTTTGTGTCTTGAATGGTAGTCAATGTTTTTCATCCAGCCTACTATTATTTCTTGTTTTAATTTCTCTATCTCGTGTCAAACTATTCAGGTTTGTTTAACTGATTCTGATGAGACAGAAGTGGCCACTGAGTTTGAAGAAATGGCGAAAGCGTTTGCTGAAGGAGCTAGAGCAAGCTCTCCAACTCTTCCCCTGACTGTATTAGTTGTCCAGGTGATTACTTTTCCTCACTTTTTCTTGTAATCAAATTTCCTAGCTCTATAGTCCAATTTTATTATTAACCGTCTCAATCGCTTCTTGCGCAGAATCACTCAGGAATATCAAATGTTGCACCACCCGATTCTCCACTACAAGTGCTGCCTATTCCAATGTTAGATAATGGGACAAATCAAGAGCAAACCACCAATGCATTGACCGAAGCTCGGATTCATGATCATATTAACAACCTTCGGTTCAGCATATCCCCAACAGCATTTTTTCAGGTAAAAACTGAATCTTCACAATCAATATATTTCAAAATTCCTTAGAAAATTGTTTAATTGATTTGAAAATTATTGATCCAGGTTAATACCGTCACCGCAGAGAAGTTATACACAATTGCTGGAGACTGGGCTGACCTTGGTCCCGACACTTTACTCTTCGATGTATGCTGTGGAACTGGAACAATCGGGCTTACACTGGCACATCGTGTTGGCATGGTAATACTCTACTACTTGAACTTGCAAAACCGAATAGCACCAATCATTACCTGTTGATTTGATGGAAGGAATTATACTACGTTTTACTACATCTGGTGACCAAAATAGAAGTGGGTAGAACTGGTACTGTCTTGATGGTTTTGGTGCTAACTTCTTAGGCTCTTACAGGTAATTGGCATAGAAATGAATGCTTCGGCTGTAGCAGATGCTGAACGGAATGCAACGATCAATGGCATAAGCAACTGCAAGTTCATCTGCTCAAAGGCATGCATTTTGACAATAACATATCTCGTAGTCGGTTCCATTATCTTAATCTTTCTTCATGCTAGTTCTGTTGGCTTTATTGTACAGGCAGAGAATGTTATGAGCTCTCTACTTAAACAGTACCTAGATGTGACTGAAATGGAAGAAGCTAAGCCTCTAAGTAATGCTAACGATGATCTCGATAAACAAATTTCCTCAACAGAAGAAATGTCAAACTCAGAGCATGTAGCTGATCAAAACCTACCTACTACAAACTCTCGAGTAGAAGAACTTCAAAACAATGAGCAGAAGGATATTTCCTCGTCCGTAGAGCCGGAAAAATCTACAAAACCACAGTTCAAAAATGTGGTTGCTATAGTCGATCCACCTCGTTCTGGACTTCATCCAGCTGTAATCAAAGCTCTAAGAACCCATCCCCGGTTAAAGAGACTTGTGTTAGTCCCTTCTCTGAACACTCACTACCACAAACTTAGTTACTTCATCTCTGTTTCCTCTGTTTAACACCAGAGTTGCCCATCTTTGCTTTGATGCAGGTACATTTCGTGCAACCCTGAAACGCTAGTGGCAAACGCGATAGAGCTATGCACGCCATCTTTTGATGAAGCGGATAGAGGAAACAAAAATTACAGAGGGCGCAAGAAAATAGGCATTGCCGCTTTGGCTCGACATAGAGCCAAGTCAATGCCAACTTCTGAGGCTTTTAGACCTGTCAAAGCCATGGCCGTTGACCTTTTTCCCCACACTGACCACTGCGAAATGGTAATGCTCCTTGAGAGGTAAGAATAAGCAATAAACTCTTTAAGAGAATGATGTAGCACCAAAAAAAACAAGTAACAACTATTTTTGTTTAGCATAAACACAAATTAAGGATTAAATATATGTTTTCCATTTTTGAGAAGAGAAACAAGTTTTTTTATATCCAAAAAAAAAAAAGGCTCTTTAAAGGAACTCTCCTTCGGTAAAGTAAGTGTAACGAGCTCTGGTCATGTTATCTCTTCGTTTCTTGTAAACAAGAGCTCCGATTACAATAGCTCCTAGTCCCAATATCGCTCCAATGGCTATTCCGGCTTTCTTCAATCCACTCATTCCATTATCTTCACCTCTTTCGTCATCGAGTTCTTCGCCAGAAGCATCGCTTGCTTTGATGTCTTGTGCCATTCCCAATTCCGGCGCAGGAGTTGGCGCCGGAGGAGGGAAATACTCGGTCTCTGGCTCGGAATCATCATCAGAATCATCGTCAGATGGAGCAGGAACAGGTGCTGGTTCAGGAGATGATGGATACGAAGGAGCTTCCGGCTGAGGAGGAGGTGGGGGTGGTGAAGGAGAATCTGCTAAGGATTCAGGTTTCGGTGATGAAGCCGGTGGGTTAGGGGAATCTGCTTCTGGTGAAGAAGACGGTGGCTGAGGGGAACCTACTTCTGGTGATGAAGACGGTGGCAGAGGAGAATCTTCTTCCGGTGATGAAGACGGTGGCAGAGGGGAATCTTCTTCCGGTGATGAAGACGGTGGCAAAGGGGAATCTTCTTCCGGTGATGAAGACGGTGGCAAAGGAGAATCTGCTAAAGATTCACGTCCTGGCGAGACAAAAATCAGGAGACAAATTGATAACATAACAATGAAACCGAGCTTTTTCGCCATTGCGATTCGATAATGCCGAGCTTTTTCGCCATTGCGATTCGATAATGTAGCTTTGACTCAATGTGGATCAAATCAAGACACCAATTGGGAAATATCTTCTCTCGTTACGAAGAACAAAGGAGGGAGAGAATGCAAATGGAAGAAGCAGAATCAATACATGTTTCTATAGTTAACAAATATAGAATGTTATTTTATTGTGTTTGATCCACCCATGTCTAACGCATTAAGCAGCTTCACATTTCAAACTTGGATGCATGTCTCTCTCTCTCTCTCTCATTTTTTTCTTTTCTATTTATAACACTTGTAGTTTAAATCAAGAAAGTCATGGTATACAACTTTTCTTAATACATTTTTTTGTATCAAGAAGCCATGATATACAATCCGAACAAATGGTTTTCCTATAGTTTTTGTTAAACGTATGCATTGGTAAGAAAAAAAAAAAAGTAACTTTGGTAAGAATTTTTTTTTGGAGTTATAATGTATATTGATTTTGTTCTTAAAATTAGTTGTTAAAATACTCTGGACAGCCGACAGCGATAGCGGACTCAAAGCTATGGAACTTGGGGAATAAGTTCTCATTTATCTCAACTCAAATTAGTAATTACTAAAAATTTAATAGATTGGAGAAAATGGATCACTTATTTATTCTGAACTAGTGTTATTGACTTGGTTACCAACTTTTTAATAATAAAAAAATTGTTGTTTATTCACTATTTATTATTCAATTGAAGATTAAGATGATTAAAATCATGGATTTCAATTCTTTGATTGTGAAAAATCATACCTTTTTGCCAATAGTTTATGTTCTTTTGAATTCTTCGGTTTCAATCTCATCCTTTTCATTTGATTTGTTCTCCATAATTCTAGACTTTTGAATTTCATGGTTTTGATTGTAGGATGAAGCAAATAGAGAATTTCTGGTTTTTGATCAAGTGAGAATTTCTGGTTTTTATAAGTGACTCTTTGTTGGATCTTAGAAATCGTGGAAGAAATGTAGAGATCGTGATTAGTGGAATTGAGGAAACTGTCTTCTAAATCCTAGGGATTTTTTGTTTAATAGTAAGTTTTAATTTTTTAATAGATGAAAGTTTTAACTAGGCAAAAAGGAACCAATAGAAGAAGTTAAAAAAATAAAAGTAAAGAATTTGGGACTTAAGACAAGTGTCACATGGAGAGAGCTGCAGTTAATAGTGAAATGACTTGTGAATTATTAGATAAGTATATACCCCACTAGTCTTTCAAAACCAATAAGACGCAATAGCGATAGACAAAAATGTAGCCCTAGTTAAAAATAAATTGTGTTTTATGAAATGTTTAGCGTCAATGAGATGAACAAAGAGAATTAATGATAATTGGTTTGTATTTATTATCTATATATACATTTTTTATTTTATGATTAATGTTAAAATCTTTTAATAGTGTTTGGTTATATGGTAAAAGAGAATTAATGATAAAATTGTTTGGATACATGATATAAGTAATGGCATTCTTTGTAAATAGTGTAGAAAACAAAGGTTTTTTTTTCTTCTAAAGTGTACTTAAAAATGTATATTTATAGTAATATAGATAATTAATGCAAACCACATATCTTTAAAATGGTAATTAGCAAATGGGCGAATATAGTATGGAAAGATAAGTTTTAAGAGACAAATTAGGATAAAAATCGTTTTGTTAATATTTTTTTATTAAAATTTTAAAATCTTAAGAATTAAAGCCAATGACATTTCATTGTAAATATGTTCAAAGGCCAAGGGTTTTTCTCCAAATGTACTTTGAAAAAATATACGAATGAAGGAAAGATAATTATATTTCGAATCTTATGTCGGTCTCCATAGCAGGTCTTGCATCCACCAGACCTTGAAGAGCGATCCTTCTTTCAAAACCTTGGAGTAAGCTTCAACTCCTGTTACAATCTAGAAAAACCAAAAGAAAAACAAGGAAAACAGACAAAACATACAATTTAGATTCACAAAGAATTGCTTATTCGAAAACAAATAAAAAACAATCAAAAGAAATTGGTTATCATCTTCTTCAACTTGCAGAATAAGGCTATTCCATGAAGTTGCAGGAAAAAGGTTCTAAGGTGATCCTGCATTAACATTTATAGTAGTTAGTTAAGAGAAATTTAACAGTCATTAGACAAAGCCAAAAATAGCATATTTGTACCTCTAGTAGGCCTTCGCATCTTTGAAGCATCAGAACTTCAAGGATCAACCTCATCCTTCACTACATCGCTGCACAACAACAGAAGAATTAGAACATTTTTCACAACTGTTTAATATATGAAGAAAGTATCTCACACTATATTTTTTTTATGATTGTCTTAAAAGTTGAAGTAATTGTTTATATTTAAAAAGTCATTTTCAATAGATAATAAAAAAATTCAAATCATGAGATTTCTTCTTTGGATGCACGATACAAAAATAAAATAAAAGATGAACATGAATACCTCAAAATGCTAAGAAAATCTATCAAAACATATGAAAACTTCGAGGAATTTTTGGGCGAGTTGGGCGAGTTAGCACATTTTCTCAAGCGAGCCAAGGTACAAATTAATTTTTCTTGGTTTGTTTTCTCTGACTATTTTTCTAATTGTTTTGCTATTGTTTGGAGAGTCTTACAGATGAAATAGCGGAGTTAGGAATAATTAGTTTGGTCTCCGTAACTAGATGAGTAGGAGGGAGAATAGTTTGGAACATGCTTTTCTATGCTATGCAATTATGAGCAATTAAACTTGTTTGACTATCTATTTTGGAATTACCATATGCTCTTAAATTTGTATCAATGTATTTAAAAATTTCCTTCTATATGGTTAAAATTCATATTTACATGCAAAAAATAAAAATAAAACATTTATTTTATTATTTGATATATAAGATATAATATATCGATGACAAAAGAGGCGATGTAAAACGCCTCATCATCCACTTATTTATTTAAAAGATTTATACTATTACATAACCCAAATAAAACAGGTGCGGTTATGTAGTAGTGACTAGTGAATCTTTACGTAAAAATCAATAATTAAGAAAATATTATAGCAAAACATTTGGTGCCAATAGTTGTACTGTTAGAGAAAAAAATTAGATGAAAAATAGATTCATCTCAAATTTAACCATTTAGATTATAAGTGTAAGACTTATTATTCATCTCTTTCAACGTTAATGAAATGAACAAAGAAGAGAAAAATAAGAAAAAATTTCATCCGCTTAAACATCTATTTGTCTCTAATTTTTCCAACAATTTGTTATAGTTATGGGCTAAGGCCCAGAATCGGCCCACTATTATACCTATCCGTCTCAATCTCACGCATCGTCGTCTTCCTCAATTTTTTTTTGTTTCTCGAGAAAAACAGAAGAACCCTTTCCCAATCCCAGGAAAATCAAAACTTCAATAAGAGAGTTTCCACCATGATCAGCATTCTCGCTCAGGTTTTTCTCTTCATCTTCATTCTCCAGATTCGTTTTCTTCTAAGAATTGATTTGTTAAATCGTTGATTAACGATTCTTCTACAGGAACGTCTTCTTGGTTTCACTCTTGGTACCGCTTTGACTGGGTTCGTCGTTTTTGAGCAGCGAAAACTCATCCATGAATCTGTTTCCGATCCTAAATCTCAATTTGTTGATCAATCTCAGGTTACAAATCCCTAAATAAGTAAATATCATTCAATTTCCCCAAAATTCTGTGAAATTTCTGGATTGATGAGAATCTATTTCCTACGTTTTAGCTATTCGATTTTGAAATGCATAAGACTGAATGTTCTTGAGATTTTGATTCACTACATTGATATAGAGCAATAAGCATCAGGTTTTGCCTTTGATATTAGACTCATTGGATTTTTAGGGTTCTTGAGATAATTGGTGTAGTAGCTTTGAGTTGAAGTATGGGATTCTTTGTTTCCAGGTGAGAGATCGCATTTTCGGGAAGAAATATCGTATGGAATTTGCGTCTCTGTGGAACAAAGCTGTGGATCAGACTTTTGAACCTGCAATTGAGTATCTTAGTTCTCGTAAATGGTAGAGATGGATAAGTTCTTTGCTGAATATGTGAGACTCGTGAATTCGATTGTTTTTCGTGTTCTTGATACTACGAGTTTGAGATGTAGACACTCAGTTGTATGAAGACGTTATCTGAATACAGCTCTATTCTGGTTTTGTCTATTTTCTTGAGAAGAGAATTGTTGTGGTTTACTGAAAATGTGAACAAAAGCTTATTATTGTTTGGCTTAATGATTGAGATGCTGTGACGTAACGTACCACTTGTTATGTTATGCTAGATTTTATTTGTTATTTGGCAGGTGGTCAATATTTGATTATACTGTAAATAGTTGAATACTCTTCTATATGCTCTTTCATGGCATCAGCTAAAACACCAGGCTGAATGGAATTGGAATGATTCGCATCAGCATGGCAAACACAAGTTATCCTAACGGCACCACCAGCTTCTATTCCGCTTCTAGAACCACTTGACGTTGATGCTAGCTCGCTTTGATGTGCTTGTTCACAAGTTCCGTGAACCTTTGCTGCCACACAAGGAGAGGCTGCAGCGAGATTCGGCGCAAGGGTCTAGCGACTAGCGTAGCATCCGTCTTTTCTGGTTGTGTGTGAAAAGAAGTCAAATGCGTGGAAATTTTAGGTAATTCTACTTTCTTCTCTGAAAACTTGTTGTTTTCATGGTTTCATGTGGATAGTAATGCAAGAATTGTAGAGGTTATGCTTATTGTTCAAGTTTGTCTTGGTTAATTAACTGGAATGGTAGTTAATGTCTGTCTTTTCCAGCCTAGTTCTTGTTTTATTTCTCTTTCTTTCCTGAAACTACACAGGTTTGTTCTTCTGGTTTTGATGAAGCCAAAAGTGGCTACTGAATTTGAAGAATTGGCATAAGCATTTACTGAATGTCACTTCCTCTGACTACATTTAGTTTGTCAGGTGATCACTTCTCCTCACTTTTTTTCTTTCTACGTTACCAAGTCCTCTAACCTGAAATGGTAAAGACTCTTTAAGCAATGGTGTGAAAAAAACGGTAGAATTGGTTCACGTTTTTTTGGAACAAACACAAACAAGCTTAACCAAATAGAATCCGAACCAAAGTAAAACCAAACCAAAGCAAAATAACTTTGGTTAAGAGTTCAGCCAGAGGTTTATTAAAACCGAACCAAACTGAATCTAAACTAAAACCAAAATGACTCATGGTTGGAAGGAATTGGTGTCCCAAACAAACATTAATTAATAGAGTGGTAGCTGAGCACACAACACAGTACTAAGTAGAGACGAGACGAGACGAGTCTAATAGTATTAAGAATTGGGTTGGGGCATCCTATCGTCGGAGTCAGGGAGGGTAACAGGAGGTGCGTGTCGGTCTTCTGGGAGGTGTATGGCATCGGCTGAATGGCGCGGAACAAGCTCGAGATTCTCGCAGTTACAGATCTCGACCATAAAGCCGTCAGGGTCATTGAAGAAGAGCTGGTCGATGGCTGCATCTTTCTCATCACCCACCGTCCTCTTGATGTACTTAACCTTCACCTCCTTGATCCTCTTTTCCAAAGCTTCCATATCTTCACACTGGAAAGAGATGTGGTTATCCATTGGGTCCAAATGGTTCGTGTCGGAAGGTAACTTGTCTTGGTCCTTGGCTTGCACCAAATGGATCCCAACACCGTAGTTAAAAAGCCACGCGCCGTTGAAGTCAAACGACGCTGGACGCTCTATCTCCACGAATCCTAATACCTTTGTGTAAAACTCCAGAGACTTTTTGACGTCTTTGCAAAGCCTTGACACATGGTTCAACGCCATTAACGGTGCTTTCGAGTTCGATTCATCATCGCCTTTCTTCTTCTTCTCCTCCATCAGATTCCGACGAGACAAAGCTTACTTCGTCTAGAAGAAACAAAGAGTTAACCTTAAAAAGCGTGAGCGGTGGGGACTAAATGAAGGACACGTGACGGACGGCTGAATAGGGAGCTTGCATGTGTGAGCACACATCGTTCACGTGTCATTCTTCACACACCTCCGCATCATTTTCTATTGGGCCCGTATTACCTTGTTGAAAAAGTAAAAATTTATATGTAGAATTTGGGATCCATTATTTGTTGAAGTTAATTAAGACTAGTATAGTGCTTAAAAGCATTTAATTGGAAAAACTATTGACGAGTTTTTTCAGTAGTAGCAAGTATAACTTAAATTGTTAAAGTATTAATTAAGAAATTCAAATAAAATGAGAAATTCAAAAAAGAAACTTCATATAGTAACACATGAGTCCATCATATGCATATTCAAGTTTTCACCACAGCACACGACTTAACTCACAATTACTTTATTACTACACTTACTCACAATTACTTTATTACTACAAAGATTCTACAACTTTAATTAGTGAGCGAGTAAACCTGACCGTAACCAAATTCTACATATAATGTTTTACTAGTCTCAACTTTTGATTCAATATATGTATTTTCGAAAATAATAGATATTCCCTTTCAATAAATCTTAAATATCAGTTAATGACGATATATATAGTCTACTAATCTCTAAATTGTATGTTCTCGCCTTATGCAAAATGACTAAAGGATTTCTCCGTAGATATTGTCTTTACCCTAATTGTTAGAGATAGAATGCAATGTAGGGAATCAATCCGATATAGTCATACAAGTCGACTCACAAGCGATAACCATATATAGTCATTACTAAGAAAAAGTCTAGTATTGATATTTAGTCATTTTGAAATACCTTTTGTTGGTTTTAATAGTAAAAAAATAGAAAAAACTAAATATATAAATAGCTCTTCTACGGTCATTAGTCAACTCAACAACTTTTGCACAAGAGTAATAGAGAAATCAACTCATCACCTTCTTCCCTTATTGTATCAATCTCAATCTCCTACGATCGCCACGACCCATTAGAACAACATTATCATCATCTTCTCTATCATTAATTATCAAGGTGACCTAATAAGAACTGATTATGTTCATCTAGCTCAAATTTCACTTCTGCCATCCTGTCCAAAACAAAGTTATATTTTCTTATTTGTTTGTAGATAACATGAACTTTACCATAGACGATGCATCACCACATCTGTCAATCTGGGGCAGCCAGAATATACTAGAGACAGATCCTCTGTAGTGATAAGCTACCACATTCTCAAAACAAAGGTAATTTATTAGCTGACGTAATGAAAATTTTTGTACTGCTTCGGAAATAGCTAATGACTCATCTAATTACTATATGTATTTGCGCATGATGGTAAGATTTGCAACTTTTCTTTCACTTAATAATGACGATGTATGTTAGTTTAATTCGGAAGGCGTTCGCTAAATTTTGTTAGTGGGTTAAGAGAGCGGTAGTTTTGAGATTTTAAAACTTTGATTTTATTATACTAATTATGATAAGAAAAACATATAGAATATTGTGAATAAAAACACTTTTGGAGAATAATTGGTGATTATAAATCTCTTTGTTTTACTTATTTGTTCAAAAAAAACTTTTTCTATTTATAATGTATTTTTTCAGTTAAGTTTTTTTTTCTTCCATTGAATATTATGATTTAATATTTTCACTGAGCAAAATCGGTTCAACATTAGGCAGTCTCATAAAAATTTTGGAAAAAGAAAAAATACATAAATTTTAAGAAACTAATCTATTATCTCATAGCTATGGTACCAACACATGAAATTGTTATAACTACAATCTCACAAAAACTTCCAAGTTTTACGCAGCTGACGAAACGGCATTGCCTGAAAGATTGTTCTACTTGAGGATGAAAGTAGTATACAAGTTTAAGCTAATGTTGTAGTTCAACAAGAAATTTCATCTCAATGACAGCATGACAAAGGTGCAGGTGAAAATAGAAAAATCCAAAAAAATGATTCAAGTTTATCATCATCTTCGAATACCATTTTTAAAGCTTGAACTCTCAAGAATATCAAAACCTGACGCATGTCATCACGAAGTTCATATCGAGGCAGCATTTCTCCAATAATAGCTTGATCCAACCAATGAATCATCTGTTGAAGATGATCACGAAGCTGCACTGGAAGCAAAAAGAGCGTAGGAAACACTTCCAGTATCTGTCAACGTGAAAAATAAAAATAATAGTTAGAGCAAAACAATAACAACGGAGATTCAGGTTAGAACTGTAGGATCTGGCTCGAGTTCAAAAACCATTTATTGAAAAGAAAATAATAGTTAGAGCAAACAAAAACCATTTATTCAGGTTGTCATCTCTTATTCATAAAGAATATACGTATCACATATTGTATATACACGTCTATATATCACCTAAATTTTATAATATACATACATAGCCTTATATTTCTACGTACTACATTAGTACATTACCAATTTGCATAATTTACGTATACACAACAAGATAGATGTTTAAGCAATAATTTTGAATTAAAAAATGTTATCCGGGCAAATAGATATCAAAAGTATGAAAATGCATTGAAATTTTCACGAAGTGTTACCTATCAAAAATTTCAAAATATATATTCGAAAATTCTGAATATCAAAAAATTGTTTTTATTTTGTTCAAATATCATATTTTACATATCTTTTAAATATTAGATATTTTATATAGGTTTTAGTTAACAACTACTTATGAGAAAAAGAATGAGCACAACTGTCTTGTTCCATTTTGTTTATCAACTTTTTTACTATTTACAAGAATTGTTTTCCCAATTTTAGACATGTGCATTCTACACTTTTTCTCTTTATTTCTCATGAAAGAAAGAATGATGGAACAAAAATGTTTCTTTCTAAAATTATAAAAGAATAATGAGAGACAAATTTAAAATTTGTTTTTTATTATTAAATAATTCTATAATATCTTTTATGATTATATTTATATTTCTATACATAATTACTTTTTGCATATTTATTATATATTTCTATAAAGAAAATTTTTTAAAATTTTCAATTTAAATGAATTTTCTAACTTTATTTTAAATTAATTACTTAACTAAAAATAAAATATAATTTCAAGTGAAATTTATATGAGTTTTTTTAATAAAGTATACAAATTTATACTATATATTATATTCACTAAATGGTTTTCTGAATTAAATTTTACTAACTAAATTCGCTAAATGATTTTTTAATTAATATTTATGTTAACTATAATTTTAAAATATTTATCTAATTTTTTATTACTATCTTATTATATAAAGTATGATTTTCGAAGTTAGTAACTTATAGGATTGTGCCACGTGACAACTTTATCGATCTTAGATTTTGGCACCTGTAAAAATAAAGTTCTTTTTAATAATTTTAAAACTATAAAAATAAAATTGTAAGAAATTATAATGTAATTTTTTTTTAAATGTGAAAAAATTATTATAAGGAAACTAAACAATTTTAAAAAACTGTAAATAAGATTATTATAAGAAAACTATATGTATCTTATTAAATAAAAATAGAAATTTAAAAATCATTTACTAATTCTTATTTGAAGCTTTCAATTCTAGAGAATGGTCTCTTATAGGCTATAGCCCCAAATCAAGTTTTTGGGACAAAAATAACACTCAAAAGTTTATTGGACAAAAATAACACCTTTTTTATTTTTAATTAATAAATAATCATGAATAAATACCAAAAAAAATCACAAATTCATCACTAATATTTTCCCACCAAAAAATGCCGTCAAAATTTTGATATGATATACATATTATTTTGATATAACTTTTTTAGCATTTATTCATTAATATGAAGTATGTAGAATCAAAATCCAGTTTATTATAGTTAAATACATAGTTAAATTGTATTGCAAATGGAATGCGTAAGATTTGAATTTTGTTTTAAATAATTAAAAAAAAACTAAATTAAATATATAAAAAGTGTGCTACTAACTATTTTGAATTCAAATATCATCGATAAGATCGAGTGTGTAGAATTAAAATGCAGTTTATTATTATGTAATAAATAGTTCAAGTACATATCAAAATAGAATGTGTAAGGTTGAAATTGGTTTGAAACAAAATTACTAAATTAAATACTATAAAAATATAGATTACTATTTAAAATTCAAATAGTATTGATACAAAATTATATATATTTCTTAGATCCACCTATTTAGGCGGGCTTTATCTAGTTTACTATAATTGTTTGTTCAAATCTCATTTACATATGTTATTGCTACTAGAATTTAAACCGCGGTACACCGCGGGGCTATATTTTTTTAAAAAATAATGTTATTTTTTAAAAGAATAACTGAAAATATATCATATTAGTTTATATTTTAAAATATAGATATCTATCTATGTATTATTTAGTGTATGATTACTATTGTTTAGGTTTCAATTTTTGAAGTATAGATACGAAAACATACATTTTTTTAAGTAACGATATATGGTCAATTTAAAAATTTTGAATATTTTACTCTACGGTATACCGTGGATCGATATTTTTATAGCTAAATTTTTAAAATTTTAAGTTGTATTTGTTTTATTAATATTTTATGTTTTTTTTTGTGTTTAAGGTTCTATAATTGTATTTTGATTTTTAATTTTAAGATTTCATCCGTGATATATCATTCTTTATTAATATCGACCCAAACTCATCATCCCATATAAACCCGTCTATATTATCCCGTTAGCTAAGTTATTAGAGTTATAAAATCCAAGAAAATAAATTATTATTGTTATAAAATCCAATAATTTTAGGATCTCACTTGTGGTATACAGTTCTTTGAATGATTTTAAATTTATACTACTAATATATATTTTAAATTTATCATATAAATTATATGATTTTTCTATGTGAATATTTTGATTATAATAAATTAGTAGTTTTATTGTTATGCAAAATATTAATATAAATAGTTGCTATAAATCGGTTTTATGCATATTTTGTGGAGAAAAATTCACGGAATTCTTTTTTGAAAATTATGGAAAGATTGTGTAGAGATTTTTAGAAATAAATTAGGCAAGATATCGTTTGGTTAATATCTTTTATTTAAATTTTCTAAAACTAAATAATAAATGCCAATGGCATAGACTCGTAAATAAGGTGAAACTTCAGGATTTATTTGCTAAAGATACTCCAAAAATGTATATATAGATTTGTTTGGTTTGTTTAGTATTTAAGATTATATAATTATATCTTTATTTTTAATTCTAGGTTTCACCCGTGGTATACCCCGTTTTGTATTCAGAATTATAAACTAAATAATAAATGCCAATGGCATGGACTCGTAAATAAGGTGGAACTTCAGGATTTATTTGCTAAAGATACTCCAAAAATGTATATATAGATTTGTTTGGTTTGTTTAGTATTTAAGATTATATAATTATATTTTTATTTTTAATTCTAGGTTTCACCAGTGGTATGCCCCGTTTTGTATTCAGAATTATTTTGGTCATTTTTATAGTATGACTCTAAACCATTGTCCAATTTTTTAAGCAATGTGGGACATTGTACACATATTTTTTCTTCATCGATTGAGTAATATATGTTGGTTTTTAAAAAATTTAATCACATTATATGCGAAAAAAATTATTATTTTATTAATTATATGTATTTTATATAAATTTAAAATAAATTACTATAAGATCATATAAAAGTGAAAGAAGAATCATACATTAATGTTTAAATTAGGTAGAAATGTTTTAGGAAAATTTAGAAACAAAATCAATTTGTTACCATATTTGGAAGCCATAGTTTCTAAAATATTTTTTCTAAAATATTTTGTAATCTTAATTAATAGATAAACATTTATGATAATGGCATTCTTTGTAAATACTTAGCAACTCTAGGATTTGTTTGCTAAGTTTACTCCAAAAATGTATATATAGATTACTCAATTTTATTCATTTTCTTTTTCATTTCTATTGTTTTTCTTTTTATGGTTACCAATAGATCTCTCTCACATACGAGTTTTAGATTTGATATGGTAATGCAGTAAACATGGTTTTTGGCTATGATCATATGGACTTAAAACGAATTTAACAGAAAAAGGGCCTTTTCAATTTAAAGGTTATAACTTATAATAATAAAAGTTTATCTTGATTTCAAAGGATACAAAATATTGAAAATGGTAACTAGAAAGTCTAAAGACATACATATATACCTTTTGTTTTCAAGAAACTGTCAACCAAACTCTTATTCTCGAGATTTCTAACCAAACTTTCTTTCTATAGATTCAATCTACTACATAGACTCTAAAACTATAGACTTTAACTAAATTGGATCTCCTAAAGTTTTATATTGTTTGGGACTATAAGGCTAAAGCCTCAAACTTAACCCTTCAAACACAGCCTTGGCGGTAAAGACTCTAATACTCTGCTTCAAGAAAAAGTGAAGAAAAAGCACACATTCCAACTCAAAGTCAAGCTCAATGCTCTATAATGGTTCACATCAGCACCGCAAACGCAAGTCCAAAGATGATCCCAACCACACGACTAGCTTCTATTCCGCTTCTAGTACCAGTTGACATTGATGCTATATCGCTTTCTTGTGCTTTTGCCGAAGCTCCTTGGACCTTTGCAGCCACAGGGAGAGGCGAGCAGCCGGATTCTACGCAAGGGTTTAAAGTAGGATCCGGGTTTTCTGGTTTTGCATGAAAGAAGTCAAATGCAGAAGGTGAAAATGCCACTGGGGTCTCATAAGCCAATCCGTGAGGAGCTCGGTCTTGCGCTAAGGCGAAGTTCGTAAAGATTAGAGAAGAGAAGAAGAAGATGAGGCATGTTTTCGAAGTCATTTCTCTCACTCAGCTTGTGTTTGGTTTCTTGAAATTGTAGAAAGGCTATAAGTTGAGTAAGTGTAGTGTATTTGTTGAGACTATGAAGAAAGGTTGTATTTATAAGGTGATGTGAAATAAAGTGGTTGTTGTTGCTTGGGATTGATAATAATCGAGTGGGTGAAAAAGATAAGACATTTACAGATGGGAACAATATGATTTCTCATGATTTCTTTACCTTTTCCCAACATATTTTACTTTTTCTCTGTTTCCATGGTCCTGGAATCTTTTGGTTCACTGAAAACCCAAATAGTCTTCAGATTTTGCTAAACCAATCTTGGTTTTTGACCCTAAAATCTAGGGGTGGACAAAAAATACCAAACTGAATCGAACCAAATTCATCAATTCGATATTGTAATGTATTTGAGATAGATATGAGTTTTTGTCCCATAAGATAATTTGTGCCTATCACTACCTTTAGTTGTTAGTATCCAGGGTTTTTTTAATTAAGGCATAATTAGGAAGTAGTAGAATCAGAAGTAGGAACCATCATTAAACTTTAGCATCCTATTATTAAATTCAAGTTCTTCTTCCCTTGAAGGATCAGCAACAATATATGTTTTCTTGAATATTCGTATAAACAAAGTTATGTGAGTGAGTGTAATAATAACACACCTGCCTTGGAACAAACACAACATCGATCTCTTATCTATAATGGCAAGAGGGGTCAAGCATGCATCTCTTACCTTCACGCCTTCTACAAGATGCCCGAGATTGAATTAATCTTGTATCTTACGTTTTTTTTTTCTTTATTTCATTTGGTATGTTAATGTTATGTTATAAGAATATTGGTTTTAGTACTGCGATTTTATGAAATAATCACCTAAAGAAGGTATCAAATTCAAGAATATTGGTCTTATATAGTACTGCGTTTTTATGAAATAATCACCTAAAGAAGGTATCAAATTCTTCTTTGTTCCCTCCTGTCAACTTCATTAATCAAACTAAAAATCTGGAAACCAAATCAGCAAAGAGTTTAGAAAAATTCTAGTAAATAATGTTAAAAAAAAAAAAAAAAACTAAGAGAACGTTTATAATAGTAAAAAAAAATCGAAAACGCTAATTTAATCGTTGTTGAACGAACAAAATAACAAGCTTTTGAATTCAAACGATGTAGAACTAGAAAGAATTAAAAATATTTATCCCAAACACCTTCTATATCGACGACATTTGGCAAATATACATTACCAGAAGAAGTAGAATTTTTCATTTAGTAATTTACTAATTTGTAACAAAAATACAATTCGGTTCCCTTTTCATTAGCCTTTCAATTTCATATATATTTTTTTGCTCCTAAAAAAACGTTAACAATTATTTGTTTCTTATAAAAGTTGTTTTTAAATTCATTAATTACAATAGTTTTTATACTATTGATAACCTCTTGTAATCTTGATTAATTGTTTCATGTGTGAAAAGAGAGATTTGACGGTTGGTAAGGATTTTAAATGGTTTCACATGTATTATAACGTGACTCTTTCTTTAGCTTTTACTTCACAGGATTTGCTCTTCCCTCTGTTAAAAGTCATCTGAGATGGAATTTTGAACCGAATCTGATAAAAAGAATGAAACAATACCGTGAATTTGGGTTGGTTTAATCCAGAAATGTTCTGATCAGGCTATAGAGGTGTTTCTTGGTCCAACTTAAAAATATAATGTGAATCTTGTGTAACATTGGCTCGTAATTAAGTCTAATTATTGATTTTGTCGTCGACTCAAAGTCTAGATAACGGATTGGTAAAGAGCAACTGATGCATCCATTGTTTCCAAGTTTCTTTTTCCCTTTACGAGCAGCAAATAAAGCATACTTAGCCACACTAATATTTAACACAGAGACATACTTGCAAATTTGTGAAAACCTCAAGCTACCAAAAGAGAATTGTGTAGTATCATCCATGAACGCCATTATATTATCAACAAACCATAAAAATTGAATTTAATTGCATGACAAAAATGGTAGTACTCGATTTTCCCTTATGTTGCATCCTTCGTAAAAACTTTAATCAATATATTGTTGACTATCACATATAAGTATGAACCGTATCCCTCAAGAACTAGAGAATAAACCCTCCAATTATCCATTAATTGAAACGATGCTTACTTATAAAAATTGTTTTGGACTGAAACGGAATTTGGATCCCACGTGAGAAATGAGAAACTTTAAAATCCGATCTTATATGTCTTTTAACGGAGGGGAGAGGAAATCATGTGAAGTATGAACAGTGAAAGGTAAGGAATCAGTCACATATAATACATATGATATATGTGAATATGTGATGCCCATGGTATTTTTCCATGTATAGATAAATACAAAATTTCATTCGAAACCTCAATACTTTACATGATCTTTTCATGAAATGTAGTTAAGCGGAAAAGATTGTATCGATATTTACTGCTTGGAGATGTACATGACATATGATAGTACCCATATTTTCTAAGTTTGAAATTAATTAGCTTAAATCACATTTGGAAGCTTTATTTATCAAGCTATTTTTTTCTCTTAGGATTGTTTCTTCTTGCAATTTGGTTAATGTTTATCTCGATTGTGCAGTGCATACTGAATTTAGCCATGCTCGAGGTCTAAATTTGTAGCTAGGTCATTCTGATCAAGTTAATTCCATCTAATTTGTTTTCAAACTTTAATTGATCTTCTTAAATCATAGTTATTATTGATATTCGGTTTAATTAGTTTTTTTTTTTTGTGATCGATGTTTGGTGACTAAAATAAAATGTATTTATCAATGCATAGATTGTAAAGAGAGAAAAAATGACCGAGTCTAAAGCTATTTACATATAAAATAAAGAAATTTTCACGTTTGACATGAAAAAAAGATTTGATCTCACCTTTTGGCAAAGTGAGATTCATTTCTCATGTTTTGGCAATTATTCCGTTTTATGACGAAAATGCCCTTGACGAAAAACCAAACGGCACAGTTACGTTACGGTTTAGTTTCTATTAGCGGTTTAGTTACTTTTTGTTTTGAAAAAAAAAAAAAAAAAAAATTCAAGAAAACGAAGAAGAACATTCATCATCTTCGTTCGACATCTCCGAGAGATTCGAGAGAGAAGTAGAAATCAGTTCGGAATTCATTCACCCATCTTCGTTTTCGACATCTCCGTTCGAATTGTCTGCTACTTGATTTGAGGCATTGCATTGAACTCAAAAAACCGGCGAAGAGAAAGTTCCAGTTTTTCCGGCGAAGGCGACCTGAGAAACATCCGGCGAGATACCAACCTTCGAGATGGCTGGGAATAAACCAAACGACGTAGTCTCTAGGAAGAAGCATACGCAGGAAGGCCCCGAGAAGGACAAGGTGGAACTCAGAGTATCCCCGAGGAGGAAACTCCCTCCGAGAAATCCGCCGGAGGAATTGGGTAAGTTCCGATATTATTCCGTTTGTAGTTTCTTTGGGTGTATCGGAATCTTAAAGCTTGTTTGATTAAAGGGATAGAAGTTGCCGGATTTTGCTATATCTGTAGTTTGAAAATTTGAGAAGTTGAATTGGAAATCTCTGTTTCCGCCAAAATTCAGATGTTGAGTATATAATGATGATAATTACTGTGTACGTACACGAATTCATACATCCGTACTTAATTGTATATCACTTGTAATTGCAGGCAGTACAACCGTGGCTCCGACTGAAGATCTTATAGTTGAAGAGTTACCACCTAGACTCTTTTCCCTAGACCGGTACCCTGTCAAGACAAAGATGAACGCGTACTCCAAACCGGAGTACCTTTCTGACATAGCACAAGTTCTTAAGGGAAAAGGGGAGATGAAGTTTCTTCTCGAGTCTCCATTTGGGGACCTTTTTAGGATACCTGCTAACAAGTCTTCCTTCTCAGGTAAACTTGTTCTTGGACTAATATGTCGTCAGTTAGTGACGAGTAAAGTGAATGAGATGTGGATGGTCTTCGGCGGTCATCCAATAAAATTCGGATTAAGAGAATTTAGTCTGGTAACTGGTCTAGAATGTGGGACATATCCCAACAAGAAAGACGTGACGGATGTGCTAAAGGTTAAAGCTGGTAGTCAAAGTGTCTGGAAAACTCTGTTTGAGGAGAAGTTTGGGGAGAAGCCGAATCCAACAGTGCATGATTTGGTGGTCTGGCTGAAGGAGGAGGAAACCATGGATGGGTGGAAGCAGCTGGCCTTATCTCTTATAATCTTGGTAGATGGTGTGATAGGGTGCCATAATAACCCCATAAGGCCTTCTGAGTTCACTGTTGAGATGACGAAGGACGTGCAATTCTTCTGCAAATACCCTTGGGGAAGGGTGTCTTTTACCCGTACTTTGGAGAGGATAGCAAAATTCCAAACCCCTTCAGATGCTCAAAAACTGATAAGGTGTGTAAAGGATGGGTCTTATGCACTACATGGATTCCCATTAGCACTCCAGCTGTTTGCGTTCGAAACAATCCCATCCCTTGCTAAGCTAGTACCTGATGATGAAGCTAACAGGACATTTACTCAGAGGTCTATCCATCATCTTGCCTCATTGCGGGCAATCAGGACATCCAGCATCTTGGAGTGTGAGGCTGCTGAAGAGGTATGTACAATTGTTTATGTACGTACATTATTTAAAAAGTAAGTGTACATTCTCTAAGTGGTCAACAAACTTATTGGTGTAGGTTGAGGTAACCTATCTTGTGAAACCAGAGGACAATATTTGTCCTTCATCCCTGTCATGGGATGATGAAGTTGAGGATCCAAGAGTTGCTTACATTGAGCGACTGTTGTTAGCTGGTCATGAGTGGAAGGAGGAAGAATGGGTTGGAGGTAATGCTGCATTTCCAAAGTGTGGATGTCGGATTCACACACTCAAGTATTTTATTAAGTTGGAAAGATTATTCTTGAGGGACAAAAATGAATATGTAAAAACTTCTAAATTGCTACGAAAATTGCTATATATTATTTCTTTGTTTCTTAGAGGAAGGTCCTTTACATGGCCATTGGCCTCCATACTTATACATCGAAAAATGACATTTAAAATGGCTAATCAAGTACAATTATTCTCTCTTAAATGTGTCCGTTTTGATTCCTTGACTTTA